CGAAAGATCTTCTGTACTCAGGCTTTATCAGGTGATGAACACAAGAAAAGGGTCTCAAGCCGCACACYGGCTGCAGGAGCAGCAACTGGTGTTTCATTCTCTTACTCTGCTTTCCCACACCCTTGGTTCACCTAGGTAAGGTGATTCTTTACCATCCTTCTTCAGGAATTCACTGCTTGTCACACCTAATGACTTACTCACTCGTCAGCCTTTTTTAGGTTGACAAATAGCCTGCAGAGATAAGACACTGGCCTTTGAAAATATGGTGCCAGTAATTAAAATGAAGAATGCATTACAGTAAAAAGTAGAAATATGGGTCTAAAAGCCACACTGGTATTTTTAGTGATGGGAGTTATTGAGGATTTCAGTTTAATAATTCAGTGCAGCTGAGATTAATAAATGATATGAGGCAGAAATGGTCTTTCAACAAGAAGGATTTCAGGGGTATAGTTAACAGTTTAATTTAGTATATCCGGAAAGATGCTGCCTGAATTACTGTATAATAACTCAACAGAGTCCTAAGATTTCTGAGCCTGTTTTGTAAAAGGAGGAGCCCACATCCTGAGTGAAGACTGTATAAAGTGAGGGAAGCCACCTGAGATGCAGCCAGATGCTGCCTGGGAAGGGCAGCGGGGCCGCGAGCTGCTGTCGCAGCTTGTCGCTTCCAGTCGCCGCCAGCTCCTGCAGGCGCAGCCGCAGGGCAGAGGTGCTGCCGGGGCCAGAGCTGTTTCCCAAGAGCTGCCTGCCGCCTCCTCTCACAGCAACTGCCTCTCCGTGACACGGGGCCTCCTGGATAGGCCTGAAGGAAATCCCCTCCTYGCTTCTCCAGGGTAAGCGAGGGAGGAAGCCCAAGCTGTGAGCAAAATACTGCAAGAGAGGGACCGGTCCCCCTTGCTGCCTCCCACAGCAGCGCTGCCAGAGGGGGCTGTCCCSGGGGCAAAGCACAGCGCTGAGTAGCTGCAGTGATAAGCAGCACTTTCATCTTGCTTGCGCCATCTCCCAAAGCTTCCATGAATTCTAGGCTGGCTTCCCTGCTTACTGAACTGGTTTCAGGGCATCAGAACAGCTTTAAAATTAAAGGGCCACACATAGCATGAGAGTCCAGACCTGCAAATTTTACYTACAAGTTTTACCTATAAGTAAGGGTGACAGAGCTGGGCCTGTTCAGCCTGAAGAAGAGAAGGCTGAGAGGGGATCTGATAAGTGCATATAAATACCTCAAGGGAGGGTGTGAGGAGGATGGGGCCGGGTTCTTTTCAGCGGTGGCCACAGATAGAACTAGAGGAAAYGACCACAAACTGAAGCACCAAAAGTGCCACCGGAACTTAAGGAAAAACTTCTTAGCAGTGAGGGTGACAGAGCCCTGGAACAGGCTGCCCAGAGAGGTTGTGGAACCTCCTTCTCTGGAGATCTTCAGAACCCGTTTGGATGCYGCCCTGTGCCACGCGCTCCAGGTGACCCTGCGTGTGCAGGAGGGTTGGGCTAGATGACCTCCAGAGGTCTCTTCCAACATTAAGGATACTATGATTCTTTGAAGTAGCTCCACTGATTTCATGACCCTGCTGTCTCTGCTAGTGCTGTGCTGGGGAGCATTTTCACATCTGACCCCATAGTTTTCACTGTGTTCTGCCCACAGAGAAACTTTCCTGGTGTTGAGTATGACAGCTTCACCTTTTAAAACTTGTCTTAACAAAATATTAGAAATTAAATAGCAGGACCATTCTGTCACAAACTTGGCCATGGTGATCTCGTGTTTCTGGGCACTAGGGGCAAGGCGGTGCCAGCTACAGSTAGAGCAGAAGCAGCGCTGCAGCTGCTGCGTGGGGCACGGCACGGCGGTTCCGCCGGGGCCTGCGCCTGCTCGTGGTGTCCGTTCTCAACTGCGCACAGGCTGGTCTGGAAATGTTCTCTGTCCTCCTAATTCTGTTTCTTCCTGCAAGAGCTGCCTTCCCTGGTAACAAAGAGACTGCCCTCCTATGTGAAGAGACTCGTTTCTCTAAGAGAGGGACAATAAACATGTTGTGATCGAGGCCTGACCCTAGACTGGGATTTTACTCTCCTTCTGTAGGATAAAAACATCTTTCAGCAAGATCCAGTTTGGATCCTTATCTAGCAGGATATTTTAAGCATATGAATGGTTCTTCAGACTTCTTTCTGCAGTAGGGTTTGTGTAGATAGGGTTAAACTCAGATGCTTAATTTTGTTATGCTCAGAAATATGCTGGAAAAATCTTACTTCCCGTCTGTGTTTCAGATGGGAAGGTTACTCTGCAGACATGCATTACAGCTGGAATGCATATGTTATACGAGACGTACTGTCCAGACTTTGGAGTGACCAGATTATACATATGGAAATTATTCAGGCTTTCTCCTCTAATTTGCTTTGCAAGGTTCATTGTACACTTTGTTTATACCTCTACTTTTCTGTTGACTGTGAAGGGTGACTGGAGCCAAGTTCACTGGCCACCCCAATCTCTTTGAAGTTAGGCAGCAGTCCTATGTGAGTGGTGAATTAGACTGAGTATAAAACAGAGTTTAACAACYTTCTAAGCTGCTCTTTCTAATCACAATTGCTAGAATAACTTGAAATTATATTGAAATCATATGGGAAGGTTGGGGGAGGTGAGCGTTTTTATTTTTTTGATAGCCACTTGAACAGAAGATCAATGAAATCAGTGATAGAGAAAAGAGAGGAAAACTAGGTCCTGAATGTTTTAGAGACAGTCATCCCCTTGTCATGGAACGAGTGGTGGGGGGGTGAGTGACAAAATACACTTCACTCGTATGAGAGAAATAACAATAGGGTTTATTGATATGGACAATGATTTCACGAGATTCTATGGCAAGGTCGCTTATTATTCACTGCATGGAGRCTCAAGATAATACACAAATATCTTGGGATACCCTCCCGTTGGGTCACGAGATTCAGATTGGACCCCCTTGCTTTCCAGRCTCCTTCTGAGAGGAGTCTGGGTGCGGCTGGATCCAATCCTAGTCAACGGTTGACCTGGTCAACGGTTTATGACTAAGGGTTCTTGTGCACAGTTACAAAGTAAAGTTAAAGAAAGAGAGCGCGCTATGTTCACTTACCACAAATCTGCCGTGGAAAGGGGGGTCTCTCAACCTCGAGGAGTAACCGTGAGAGGCGTCCCTGCTCAAGGGGAGATCCTGATGAGCAGGCCGCTGCCATGCCAGGAGAGCTCAAAGGGCTCTCAGGCTGTCCGCATATTGATYGGATAAGATGATTGACTTACAGTCATTCTTTCATTTCAGAGGCCCATTGGCTAGTGTATTAGCCTTACCTCCCTGTTGGGATGCAGCCTTCAGGACTGTTATGTTGAGTCTAAGTGGGAGAAGAAATCAGAATGGTGGCGCCTACGAGGATTAGATAAATCGCTGGTGGTGAGCAACTGAACAGGGCTGCATGTAAGGTACAGGCMAGGTTGAGCTGGGCAAGGAGCGTATCCGTCACACCCCTCTCCTTAACAGTGTTGTATGTTGTACAACATTTGTTGCATTCATTTGGTTTTTAATAATCTGTCTAATTCTAATTTTTTTCTCTTAAAGTCATGAGTCTTTGAGATGTGACAGGTTTTAAAGGAAATATGATCAAATGTTCAATGTTTTGTACATAAAGACTAGAATTTAGAAACTGACTTTGTAAAAATCAGTTTTTTTTTTTTTTTTTTTACAGTTTCTTACTGTCTAGGACAGCTGATAAAACGGGAAGCAACAAGTACGTTAAATGCAGAGCAATGGTTTGTACAGAAGAGCCCAGGGTTTCTGCTTTATGCATTTTATCAATGTAAATCCTATAATATTTTCCCTGATTGCTGTAGCAGGTACCCATAAACTCCGCAGTGCCATGTTAGTCCTCGAGCGTGAAAATCGCATTGTTTGCGTGTAGATCTCAGACCCTTCTGTTGGAGGGTTGTCGTATTATTTGGATTTGCCCTGACTTCCGTTTTGGTTTGCCCCAGGCTGCGTGGCTGGCCGAAATAAGCTGGTATGGGGGAAGCAGCTGCAGCTTCTGCTRTGAGTGGAGAAGGGCAGTGGGCTGGCAGTCGCTCACCACGGGGGCACGGCGCTCCTGTCGGGCACCTCCTTCAGGCGGCTGGGTCCTGTAGGAGTTAGAGCAGCAGGAGAGGAGCCTGTCGCTCCTGCGGCATTCATATAGCTGGATGGAGCAAGAAGGGTTGCGAAGATTATGGTTGTTCAAAAATGAACTTGGAAAAAATGCATTGAACAGAACCACTGCGATGGAGCTTTTCACCACCTCTGTGCAGATAYTAGGAGCCTCTTTGCTCATTTAGTTTCTGAGACTGTTGATTTGAACTTCAGTTAATTTCTGTAAAGACCACAACTCAAGTCTCCTGTCATAACTAGAGAATGTGATGTGATATCATCACTGCTTACCTCTGAATGAACCTGGAAGCAGAGTGATCAATCCAGGCMTAATTGCCAATGTCACCAATTAGTTGTTACTGAGCAACGGAGGGACATTTACACCAGCAGCCTGTCATTTCCAGAAATTGCAATTCAGTGTGGCAGGCCCTGAGTGGCAAGAAAACGCCCTTTGGAGCCAGTGTAAATTATTAGCAGAAGGACTTTCTTTTAATGTCTTGCTGCACATCTCTAATTTCAGCATTACCAAATGGGGATTCCCTGTACTGTCTCCAGGACAGTCAAGAGGATCACAGAGTCTTCACTAAGCCCTAATGCAGACACATGTTTGACTAGGTACTTAGAGTTAAGCATGATCTTAACTACCATTGAAGTCAAAATTAGTCAGCTACTTAAGGGAGCTACTTAATTTAGAGATTACTYTCATAAAAACCATCCTTGCTCAGCTCCTAATCTCACCGGTTGCAGGGGAAAGCAATCGCATAGAAGCAGCATCTGGACTTGCAGAAAATTAATACAATCTGTGCTTTTCAATAAAAACACAATATGTTATTTTATAAGATTTTAAAAATATTTTTAATTTTCTTTTAGAGGCAGCACTGACTTGAGGATTTGGTAACCATGAAGTTTAATTCTATCACTGATCCCCATGAGCCTCTGAGTCTCCTTCTGTTCAATGGAACCAAAGGTATAATTGTCTGCAGGTTTGTTTCTGTATTTATTAACGTGGTTTCACAGTAGTGCACATTACCTCCTGTAAACTTTCAAGTTGATTTTGCAACTAACATTTTTCCTTCCTTCCATATTTGAACACAAATCGTTCATGCTATAGGTTGATAGAGAGAAGGTTAATTTTCCATAAGATAGCTGTTTAAAAAGAGACATTTGTTTAAAAAWCTTCTAAGAATTCAATTATTATGTAGCTTCAGTTTAAAATCTACTCCCCAGCTAATTAGTCTGGTAACATATCTGTATCTCCAAGCGGAGAATAACTATAATATTATCCCAGCAGAGATCAGCAAAGGAATTTGGGGAATGCAAATGTTGGTAATTGTAGTTCCTGCTCTATAGTTAGCTTGAGCAGACAGACGTCTGCCCCTTAGCAGACCTCTTGTGGTGCCAGGGGTGTTGCACACAGGACAAAAGACAGTAGATCCAATTGCAGGATGAAAGGCCAGATTCTGATATCCCACTCCATTTAAAAAAAAAAAAAAAAAAAAAAAAAAATTACATCTCTTTCATTGAAATAACTAAATATCCTTTTTAAGATTCTGGAGAATCTTTCTGGTCTTTCTTTGGGAAAATGCCCTTTTATAATTTTGATTGAGAAAAGATTGAATTTTTTTTTTTAAACTATTAAAAAAAAAAAAATTCCTGAGTTGGTAACTAACCAAATTTAGAAAGGTATTTTGGCCTGATGTTAGAAAGGTATTTTGGCCTGATGATATATATACATATTTGGTGGGATTCCTTACAACATTTAGGTGCTTTTGGTATCTTGAACAGCTGTATATTCAATATCTGCCATTTCTCTGGCTTGAAAATTAAAAATAACCTCATTACTCTTGAAGATGAAAAGAAAAAGAAAAAAAAATCCCAGACTCTTCCTCATCCTCTGAAATCTACTGTTTTGCCTATGTTTGCCTTGAGCTTTTAGTGTAATAACAGATTTATTAAAAGCATAAATAATCTACATGTCCCAGATGGCAAACAATAGTGTGTAACTTTAGTAGACTGTTTTTCAGGAGCATGTAAATTAATGTAAAAGGCCTGTTAGACTGAAGCATTACCAATATCATCATTACCATTAATGACTTGCAGGCTCTTTCGAGGATAGAACAAGCTTTGTAATAGAAATAACTTAACCCTGCACAGGGTTTTTTAGGAGAGGCTTTTTTGTGCGTGTGTGTTTCCTGATTCTGTATTTTGAATCTGCATTGTGCTCCCATTGATCACCRTAGGGAAATAGTTCCATGGCAAGCTCAGCAAGCAGTTTCTTTGACACCAGCAGAAAGAAAAGAGTGTAAGTCAAAGTTCAAGTTTTATGAGTTACTGGGAGGCAATGAATGAGGCAATCAATAGGTTGATCTTAATTACAAGGGTAGGCACAGGAAGAAATTCTGCTTGAAGTAGACAAAGAAGAGCAACCATCTTCCAGAACAGCTTAACCACTGCTGTCGTCATTGTTGCTAGACTCACCTGGCTTTTGCTCTYGCAGGCTGCGTAGAAATGTGCTAGAGGTTCACTTACCTGCAGGCAGTGCAACAGCTTCAAACTGATTCCCTTAAACATCTTTTTTATTGGAATGAAAAATAATAAGCATGTTATATATGGAATTTATATCTTCTCTATGTCATGGTAAGAGCTGATCTCATTTGCACCAAAGTGCTGCCGGAGCGACCCCAGTGACGTCAGCAAAGTCTGACGAGCTCAGGCGTGAGCTCAGAGCTTTCATAAGGCTCCACAYGGTGAACTGTTAGTGGTGCAAGGTTGTGCTTCTGTTCCCAGCCGCGCCTCTCCCTCCCCTCCTCCCCCAGCTTCAGAGATAACCACAATAGGAACTGACACTCTCCCGACGGCCACATCCAATCTCTTTAAGGAGCTGGAAGCCAAATGCTGGTTGAGATGCTCTCCCGGCTGGCAGTCTTCACTGTCTTCTCTCAAAGTCAAAAATAATGAAAGTCTTAGGCAAAGCAAAGCAGTATAAAGATGTGCAGAACTCTGTCTTTCCCAGTTCTTCAGAATTTGTTTCATCGGGCCAGTGTCTGGAAAAGTATTTTAATTGTTCTTCTTAGATGCCACCAATCACTTGCTACCTTTCTGTCTTTATACATAAAATTAAAACCAGAGCCAAGAAATAATGTGGATGTGTGAATGCACATTTAGTATCCAGTTTGCCTATCAGTGCTCAGTCCGCTAATCCGTAAGAGCTGCGCTGTGGTGGTTTTCATGAAGCAGCTCCTGGTGAAAATTGAGCTGAGGGGATGGGGGCATGCACAGGTGCTATGTTTCGTGCCTTCCTCTGTGTCATTGTGATTTCTGGTGACTTTCTGCRTATGTTCAATTAATCTAAAGACACTTCAGGTTATAAGGCCATGATATATTTTGAACATGGCTTAACCAGCTGAGAAATGCTAGGGCTGTGAAGAGATGCCAGAATGACCAAAGGCAGCTCCTTATGCACAAACCAGGGTACCACAGAGTCCTGCTTGAACCTGYGCTGTGGGAGACGGTGAGGGAATGGCTGGGAGGGGACTTAGTTTTGGGGACCAGCTCTGCTCTCTCCAGGACAGCTGCAGTTGCCAGAGGGTGCCAGTCTCTGCTTACGCAGCACCCAGGCCGGCACAGAGGCCCGTGTGGAGAGATAGGAGGKTTTGGGCAGCATGGAGGAGCAAAGCCTTCCTTGCTGCTGAACTTCGTTGGGTGTAAGCCCTGCCTGGACAGGGAGCAGGCTGGACCCGGCTTCCTCCCAGCAGCACCTCAGCTCCTGTGCTTGCCACACCGCTTCTCCCCATACCAGTGCTCCCAAAGAAGCGTGCGAGCTACCCCRTCCCACCTGGCTGACTTGCAGCCCATCGACCCTCCCCGACTTGAACCCTGGCTGTGCAGCAGTGGCTTTTTTGCTTCCCAGATTACTGCAGCTCAGCAGCTTCTGTCCTGAGGGCAACAGGTCCCTTCCTGGTGCCTCCTGCAGCCGGCAGCCAGCAGCAACGTGCACCCCGGGCTTTCTTAGGGAAAGACGGGGCCTGCTCAGGGGAGCATGTCCTGTGGCTCCAGCTTGCAGTCAGACTGATGCCCTGAAGCAGGACAGCACATGAACCTGGTAATTTTATCCTAGCCAGCATAGTTGCAAGTGCTGTTCTGAACCATATAAACATCTCTGGTTACAGCTGCCCTGCTTGTTTTATCTCACTGATAGCTGATGGCTCTCACAGGTCACACAAATCATCTGCCTGTGCTTCTGATGCCTCCAGTGTGTCTTGCACATGCCAGCAGTGACTTTCCCCACTGGAGCTTTAGGGAGGCAGCTCAGAGCTGGTGACAGTGGAGGCGAGAGGCTGCAGGGGAAATGTGCCAGCCCGGGGAGTCGCACTTTCCTCTGCTCTTCTTACAACTAAGAGGAGAGAGAAACTTGCTCCTTCCCRCAGGCAACTGCAGAAAGAAGCCACAGCAGGCGGTGAGCTGTCACAGGGCATCTCCAGCTCTGTAGCCGCCTCTTGCCAGGTAGGACATGAGTATGGGAAGGTAACACCATGTAACAGCCCTGCCTGAGTTATGCTGCTGTTCTTCCCATGTGAGAAGGGTTTGATGGAAGCTGATACAACATCAGAGGTAATAGAATTATATTTGGGGGGGGGGGGGGGGAAGCTGTCCCTTATCTTATGCCCTCAGTCAAACAAACCTGAGTGAGTGAAAATAAGCTTTATGCAGCTGAGATAGCTCTACTCATCAAGCCAAGCTTTGTTAAAGAGAAAGCAAGACCACCCTCTTCCTATTCCAACCCCAAGCTTGGGGAAATCTTCTCTCAGGTGATGATATTTGAGTTGTTCTGTTTGATTTTACAGTCTTATTCAGTAATACTAGTTTTTCATTTTCTTTAGATACTTATGAGTTTAAAGTAATCCTCCAACTAGATTGTAATGGTCAGACTGATAGCTGGTGAAGAAAATGAGAACACGCTCTTCAAGCATTACAGGTATTTGTCTTAGTCTGTAAACTAAGCCTTAGGATTTTCTAAGAATTGGTAAGTTTTGTATTGCTGTAGAGTGTAAAGCTAATAAACAAGATAAAAGTGCAGATATGTGAATTGTGCCCATTATGACAACGTAAAAGTGATATAAATTTGATTAAAGGTATTTTTTTATGTTGTAGCCTGAGCTGTCAGTTAGGGAAAGAAGTAAAAGATAATGGTGAGGCCTGAGCACGTGTTTCTCAACAGCCATGTTTTTATAAGCTAACAGCAAGAAAATTGGTATAAATACCTGTCTTCAATGGTTGGTTCACAAAGAGCACCTCTAAATTACTCTGCCTGGGTTTTCCTTTTCAGCCTGAATCTCCTGTGTGAAGGAGAGAAGATGCACTTCTTCACATTGTTGTTCACCTCATATGTTAAGGACTCAGGTATCCTGTCTGTGATAGGTGTGTTTATTTYTGAATGTAACATTCCCTTGTATTCATAGCATGGTGTGTGCATTGGGGCAGCTTCTCTGCATGTCTGCCTGGGTTCTGTTCTAAGATCTTACCTGCTGCTCGAGGGGTGAAATGATACTGCTGGCTGGTGGTGATAGAGCTGCCTGGAGAGAGGAGAGACGCAGCCCGCCCGGCCTCCTGCTCTTGCTCSGTATCTGCCTCCCAGGACCCAGTCAGCAGGAGGAGGAGCTGCTGGAAGCTCTCCAAAGAGAACAGCAGCCTGTGCCACAGCTATAATTCAGCAGCAGCCAGGATGCACAGCATGTGCTTCTCCACAGTGAATAAATTCACCGCGTTTCACCTTTTCCCAGGACAGAATTAATGTTTAATATTTACTTCTGCAAAACTAAGAAAGGAGGGGGACTGGAGAGAAGGAAGAAGATGAAAGCAATATTAAATATTGCTACTCTTAGAAAGTTGAAATGATTCCTGTACCCAAAACAAAAAAGAAATTGTGGTAATGGAAGATGTGTTTGAATCCCAAACCTTGGTATTAAAATGAGTGGTCTGTGGTGCCCTGCTCCTGGGATGCCTACAATGGGCATTGGCATCAGAGGGCGCTTTCTTCCCTGGCTRTGCGCTGGCAGGTTTGCGCAGAGCTGCTGCAGGCCTCTCCCTGCAAAGCCCCCTACCCCTGAAGAGCCGTCTCCAGAAGCAGGGAGATGGGGGGAGGCAACCAGGACAGAGGAGACAAGCCTAAAATGCCCGGGGGGCTAGGGCCTGCGCTCGTGGGCCAGCCCAGCTCCTMCTGTTCCCAGAGTTCCCAAATATTTGATCCTCTGTAGCTTCAGACCTGAAAAGATTTTGTTTGACCTCCTCTGAATGGGAAATGCTCATGACAGGGGAAAACGGAAACGCAATCAAATTCAAAGAAGCACAAGAATGTGGTTTGCGAGGCTTGGGATTAGGTTACATGGATTTCTAAGGATGTATCCCACCCTGCAATTTTATAGTTACCACATTGTACTGAGTGGTGAAAGGCATCTGGCTACGGTCACCTTTCCCTTCAGAAACATCAGGGCTCCCAGCTGCRTGTCATGAGACTCTGTAGACCACAGTGCAAAAGATTTCAACCCTTTCATTCTGGGCCCAGTAGGATTCTAATGTGAGTGTCATTGCTTTAAAATTTTAAATTCCTTTATACATCGGGGAAGTCCAAATTCAAATGCTTTTCTTCAGGCCCCCTCATAGTGTTTCCATAGTTTGTGAGGGAGCTTAGGAAAAATCAGGTTTAAAAGAGCAGTGGTGCTGAGCGGACCTTGTACACAGTGGGTGGCTTCATCTCTTCTGTATAGTCAAATGTCAGAACCGCAGGCAAAAATATTTGTCTCTGTACAGTACATGAAAAGGCCGCGAGGAGTTGGGGTTTCTCCTGGCTTCCGCTGTGTTCAGCAGCTTTGTGGGAGGGTAAATTCCACACACAGATGCCCCAGCTCAAGCCATTTAGAGAGATTCTCCCCTTGGACTATTACTTCCCTGCTGCAAAATTGCATTGTTAACTAATAACAGCTGAGATCTTTCCGTAGGGGAGTAAATAAATAAGTGCCTTTTCCCCTTGGCTTATTGCAGAAAAGCCACCCACGATGTGTTTGTGGAAAAGAGAAGCAAGGTCCCTATGTGCAAGTCCAGCGAAACTGAGTGTGACGGATTCCTCTCTAGTGAGGTACAGCGAGAACAAGCGCTCTGCCACGGCGGCTTCGCCCCGCGCAGGGGGGCTGTGGCAGCGAGCGACACGCAGCAGCAGCACCCTGAGCRGAGGGAAAGGGGCCGCTGCCAAAGTCCCCGGCTGCAGCGGCCGGCAGGAGGGAGGTGCTGCTGGCTGGCGGCAGCGGAGCCGTGTGTGCCTGCGCCAGGGCAGCGCAGCGCAGCGGGGCCGTGCCCCTGCACCAGCCCTCGTGGGAACCCCTAGCTGGAACTTGATGGGAAGTAGGGTTGATGTTGGAAATGGGGTCCCCTGGGGCACCATTGTGTGTGGCCCAGGGTAAACACAGCAGCAGATGGTTCCTGTTTCTAAAGAGCCCTGTTAGCAAGAGGCAGAAAAGGTGTGTGTGGAGGGAGGAATGTCTGCATTGGGAGTGGGGAAAGTGAGGCACAAAAAGCTGCTACAAAATTGCAAGCAGGCATGCAGGTCAGATGCAGCTGTTTGGGGGGAGTGCTGTGAGGAGGCAATGCTGCCTGGGCATTTGCAAGAAAGCAGGAACCTCCCTCAGCTGCAGAGAAGCAGTGGATAAGGTGGGACCAGGGAGGCAGGTGCAGGCAGCAGCGGAGGCACCTGGAGGCGCTCGTTTGACAGATAATCCCTCTCCAAAGCTCCACAGCTCCTTTTATTTCTGAACTTGCAGTCCTTGCTCATCCAACTGGAGGGCATTTCTTTCTGTTATTGGATGCTGTTCTGGCTCATACTCACTTGCCTTTTTTCCCTGGGCCAGGCAAGGAGGAGTAGAAAGCAAGCATCACATGAGGAAGAAGTGTGATTTCCCCCAAGGAGCAAYCTTTTCTGAGCTAATGAAGTGTGAATCCAAGTGGAGGGGAGGGGACAAGGTCCAGCGATCCCCCAAGCATATTTCCGAGAGTACTTTAAAATACCATGAGGGCCATAGTCCGCCTGACTGGGAGCCACAATGTGCAGCAAGGAGGCCTATTGATGAAAAAGCTGCTGGTATTGGGGTTGCTGGTCAGGTTGCTGTCTTCCCCATGCTGCCTTGACTGTCTCTCCTACTTTAAGGTAGTGAGAAAGGAGGGACAGAGATAACAGTGCCTTTTCCTGGCATGTTTGTCACAGACAGCCTCCCATCACTGCAGGGCCAAATCCCTGAGTCCAAACCCCGCCTGAGTGGCCGAGCACATGGGGAGGAGAGGAGTCCATGGCTGTGTGGGTGCTGTTACTGTTGCGAGGGGGCRTTCGTGGCTGCTGTGGCATGGGTCTGGCAACTGCATTTATCAATACAGCAGCTCTGCATAAAAATGTGCCACTTGCAGCCTATTGATCAGAGCTTCACTCTGTAGATATTATCCCTGCTCCTAATAGGGGCATCAGCAGCAGCTGTGCTCTTAGTCTTTTTTGGAGATGCTAAGTCATGAGATTAATTTCCTTTCTTTTTCATTCCCTTGTCAGCACTGAAGTCTATTAAATACACTGTAAGCAAAAGCCCTTGTGCTACCCAAGAAGATACATTCATCTGAAGGCTACTTCATGCCAGCAGACTTTCAGCATCTACGTATTTGCCACCACTTGTTTCTTCTCAGGCACTGAGGCAGCTCCAGGCATCAGACAAGCCCTTGCATGGTAAGAAAAAGCATCACCTGGTTTTGCGCAAACCCTCTGCCACTCTTGGTCACAGGGACCAAGCTGAGGGCCAGGCTTTGTTACAGGGCTGCTGAATCCAACAGCTCACCAGAAGGAAAGGAGAAGTCTTGTCCGTTCTGCTATTTCTCCTTATGGTCCCTTTGCTCTGAGGGTCACAGCCTGTGCCTCTGCAGGGCCAGATGCAGTGAGTTTTTAGGCCATCCRCCCACCTTGTTTCCTGTCACTAATCCAGGAGAAAGCACTTTTCCTCCCCTCAGCTTGCTTTTCTACTACGTTAGGGCTCAGCTCAGGGAGGGATCTGAATGTTGCCAGGGCTGGCGCAAGGGCAGCCTGGGGTGAGTGCAGTGGCCTTGTGGTGAGGGGCTCCCCTGCGAGKCAGGTCCCACCTGGCTGTGCTGGCAGTTGGGCGACATGCAGAGAACAGGGAGCAGAGCAGTCGGGGCAGGAGAGTCAGAGGGCGCTTTCCCCGGGCCTGATCTTTAACATCTTTTTAACTTTAAGAGTCAGATGTTCCCCTGCCAAGCAAAATTCTGTTTTTTGGAGAAGATAGGGCAGCTTGGGAGAAACATGACAGCAGTGACTCTCATGTGGGCAGCTGCAACTCAGGAGGGGCAGAGGAGGAAGGCACTGGCAACCCTCATGGCTGCAGAAGAAAYCTTCCGCAGCCCTCTCTCCTGGACCTTGTAGGAGTGTAGGCAGAGGGAGAACAAACATATGGGGGAGTGGAAGGGAGTGAGAGCTCCCACAAAAAAAAAAACAATAAACAGATTTCTGAGCAGAGGTGTATTTCCATGGCTTCTTCCCCATCTGCCAAGCAGACAAGACAAATATGGCCTAGTTTTCACAGGTGCTGGGCACCCATAAATCCCCCTAGCTTTAGTGGGTGATGCAGATGTTTGCTTCTTCTGGAACCTAGGCCATAAATCTTTCCTCTACCCATGGCTTTTTCAGACTTTTTAAAAATTAACTGTGCCTTCTATTGTTTCTGAGGTCTGGAAATTAATTGTTGTTAATAGGACAGAAGTTGACCAGATCCTCTTGTCCTTCAGGTGTGTGCTGTGATCAGAAATATGGAGCAGACCTATCATGCCTGCCTGAAGKGGAAAAAAAATCCATTTGTGGAAGTCTCTTGGCAATAGTTGTGAGCCTCCCTGAGCTCAGCGCTGCTGCAGSTCCCCTGTGGTGGCTGCTGGTATTTCTGTCAACGTTGCTACGTGATTGCRTTAGATCCACTCCACTACTACTGATAAAGTGCAGTCCTGTGAATAAATGAGAACAGGGAAGAAGGCAAATGAAACTGGTTTTCAGTTTGTGGACTTGGGCTGATATTTTTCCAGCATTTTATGTCCATGTGCCAGTGCTCACTTGCTCTCTTTTCTTTTTTCTTTTTTTCTTTTCTTTTTTTCTCTCCCCCCCTCTCCCTCCCTCTCCATTTATGAAATCAGCCGCTCTCCCGCTCTGCTCCGCCGGCTCCCCTGTGCTCTCCTCTGTGTGGCCGCATGTCCTGGGTAGTGAGTGAGCTCTGCCGCCCTCTCCCCCTCCTCCCCTGCCACACGGCGCCCGGGCTGGGCT